TTATTTTTGCAAAATGTTATCAAAACGCCCTTTTTTAAGTAAAGTATGTATATGTATTTGTTTGTGATTTATTGTCACTTTAGCTTATTTGCCAGTATTAAATGAATTTAAACATTTTATGGACTTAGAAGTAAGAAAATTATCAAAATTATGTTTTCCCTTAAACCAGGGTTTTCGGTAATAAGTACTTTCCAGGTAATTTTTGGAGACATTTTTTCGATTACAGCTAATAGAAATAAAGAAAGTAATATGAAACCAAATTCAACTCTCCTGCACACATACTGACAGAGTTACGGAGTTTTCCGGATGTTTGCACAAAATGAACAAAAACAAAGTGATTATATTCCATGCTCTTTTGTTCATTAGAATCTAACATAGTGACCTCCATTATCGTAAAAAAGGAACGCGTTTCGCTGCACAAATCTCAAGCATGCACTATCACGCCTTATGCAGCTTCATTTTTATGTTTGACATCCAACTTCACAGATGACTTGAAGATAGCATTGTCTAATCAATTAACAAACTAAATTAATCACGTTATTTAAGAAATTTTAATTTTAAAACTGTGAGTATACAGGGACGGTGCCAGTGGTGGGGGAGGGGAGGAGTGGCGAAGGAACTGACACACTTTATACAAGCGGTTTAATACTGTAACTGTGGAGGAATTACTTTAGAACTAATTCCTCCATGGCACAACTAGGTATAGGATTGGGCTTACCGTCTAAGTTTAATATAAGTCTCAGAGTGTAATTTCTGGCCATCTAGAAGTGCCATAATCCCAACCATGGTGGGGCTGAGGTAGTATAAATACCCTCCCTGGGCCCTTCTATTTCGAATTCTTAGATCCGTTACTGGAAATTGCAACAAATATGAAGTCATATTACAGTAGCTTATATAAAAATAACTTATAAAACTTCATAAAATATTCATGTCTTCCCTACCCGGGCCCTTGGGTGGCCACCAGGGCGCCCCAGCCTGTATGCTCGCTTCGCTCGCATACTGGACCTTATGAAATGGCCCCACCCCCACTTTCAAAAACGTTCCGTCGCCGTTGGCTGTAGTTAAACTAACGCTGTAAAAACCAAAAAAAGCTTAAGTTTTGGATAAATTCGATGAAGTGGCGTACTTACGTTTTAACACAGTTCGGAGCATCGTAACGATCGCCTTTGAGAATTGTTGTTCTAGATTAATGTGGGCACTTATGAACTTACATCAACTGATAAAGAATGCTTTAAATTATTTATCGATGAAGGATAATGATTAACAATTACATAGTACGTATGCCCAATTTTTGTTGTCGATTCAGTTATCTGTATCAGTTTAAACAATCATACAAAAAGTTTATTATGCTTCAGGGTGATATAATCTAAAAATATTAAATGCAATACAGTACTCGTGTTTCATAATAAATCGTGTTTCAAAGTTATTGTCATTGTAAATTCACTAAAATTACAAATAAATTCACTTACGTATGCATTCTGTACCGTGCTTTTGATTCATGTTTTTTCCCCCTTCATTACAACCATTCTTCATTTTTCATTATTATATGTTTCATTTTGGTTAAGAAAATTTATTTTAATTTCTTATTATCACTTTTAATAAATTCAGATTGTTCTTCCATATTTTACGATATGTTTTTAGTTAATTACTGTATCTATAATTGTATGGACGCATCACCGTACCGAATTTTTTATATCACTTTTAATATATTAAGATTGCATTGTTCTTCCACATTTTATGATATTTTTTTAGTTAATTACTGTAGCCTGGTTCTTACGAGAGCCCTAGTATCTGGATCGGGAGCTAACCGTTAGCGCTAACCGTTTGCACCTGCGTGAGAACGCCTGATCGGTTAGCGCTAACCGTTAGCGGTATCCGGATACCGCTAACGGTTAGCAAGCGCTATCTGTTAGTACGTGAGCGCGTTTCTATCATCAACCAATCACACGTACGCGTTTACAATTTCCAGTTTCTTATTGGCCAGTGATTCGATCATCATATTCTTGGTATCCGGATCGGGATTTTCTCGTATGGACGCACGGCAGCTAACGGTTAGCAGGATCCGGATCCTGCTAACCGTTAGCTGCCGTGTGAGAACATAGCCTACAAGTCTACATATTGTAGGATGCATCATCGTACCGATTTTTTTAATATTTAGGTACAGTTTGATCATAAGTCTTGAACATTTTGTTTCTAATGTTGTACCATAGGGAATGTGACATGGTGTGAACTGACCCCTCCTCACTATCTGTACAGTACGGCACATTTATTCATAGTGTGTCATTGTAAAAAAGACTACAGTGATAGTCGAAAGTTTAAAACGTAAGTTATTTTTTATATACAACATTTAATTTTGCTTTCCATATTGGATATCAATATGTAGTCGCAAAAGCAAAATATCCATTGTAACAGTCAAAAAGCCTACTATTTCTAAAAACATTAATGTACACCGTAAATACATGAAATCATTGGTTTTTTCTAAAAGAACTAACATCTTCTGATAACGCGTATAGGCTTATATGATATATAATTATAAGTCACAACCAAGTCACAACCAGACAAAACAGTTCCCTCTATTTTTGTTACTATTATTATAAATATTTGTATAAGTTTTGAGAGCAAGTAAAATCACGTAAAGAAGTTAGTCCATGGGCTAGTATGGGCCAAAGTACATCCACCCCCCAGTTAAACTTCCTTGATATTTTGTTGTTCCCACGGCCATAGAGAATGAGAAAATTGATGTTAACATAAAACATTTTGGAATGTACTGAGTCACTTTATGATGAATTTTTAGTAAAATACAAATTTTGGGATGGGGGTAACTTTTCTGTTCATAACTTCTGTTTCTGTAAACAAATATGAATGCATTTGTTATCAATATGTACCATATTGGTAGCTCAATCACTTAATTTTTATTTACGTAATTAGAGGTCAACAAAAATGGAAATTTCAACTCAAACCACCACAAAATTGAATTGTCAAAAGAAGGGTCAAAGGTCATAGCTATAGGGTCGTCATATCTCCGCAACCACTGGTGGTAGAGAGTTAATTTTGGTGCCTTTTTGTTCAGAACATTCATGTTTCTATTTGCTCTAATGGAATATTTTGTTAGAAAATGACCGGAAATGCTGTTTCTAACCTTTGACACGTTTCAAGGTCATAGCAATAGGGTCATTATATCTCCGCAACCACTGGTGGAGTTAATTTTGGTGTCAATATGTTCGGAACATTAATGTTTCTATTTGGTGTGATAAAAAAGACAATCACACTATCACAAATAATGTGATATTCAATATACTTTATATGTTTGCTATTTGTCTTGTAACATGGGTGAATGGTCAGTATCGACATATTTGTTTTATCAAAGTTCCAATCAAGTAAACAGTCTCTACAGTAAGTATGTATATGGATAGGCACATATGCATTGAAACATGTCAAAGGTCAGAAACGGTCGTATTTTAGTAAAATGTTCTATTAGAGCAAATAGAAACATGACTATTCCTAACAAATTGGTACCAAAATTAACTCTCTACCACCAGTGGTTGAGATAATAAGGACTCAATAATTATGACATTTGAAACATGTCAAGGGTCAAAAACAGCATTTCTGGTCATTTTCTAGCAAACTTTTCTATTAGACTATATAGAAACATTAATGTTCCGAACATATTGACACCACAATTAACTCTTTACCACCAGTGGTTGCGGAGATACAATGACCCTATTGCTATGACCTTAAAACATGTCAAAGGTTAGAAACAACATTTCCGGTCATCTTTTAGCAAAATGTTCAATTAGAGCAAATAGAAACATGAGTCTTCTGAACAAAGAGGCACCAAAATTAACACTTTACCACCAGTGGTTGCGGAAATATGACGACCCTATAGCTGTAACTTTGACCCTGACCTTTTGACCTCTCGCCACATTTTGAAAATGTGTTACCAAGCCAAAAATGATTGTTGGACCACCCTAAACCAATTTCTTTAGTCAAATTCTCTGAACCTTAAAGTGCATACAATACCTGGTCTGGCTCGGGTATACAGGGGTAGTGCCAGTGGGGGGGGGGGGAGGAAGTTTAGTACAACCATGGAGGAATTACTTTAGAATTAAACTAATTCCTCCATGGCACAACCATGTATAGAATTGAGCTTACCGTCTAATTTTAACGTTGTAGCTCTTTTTAATTTTCTTTTACATCCTAAATATATATATATTGTTTTCTTTATCTCTCTATATTACAATATACTCTTAGTTTTATCTCCATACCAAACATATATGAAACTGATTTATATTAATATTTATGTATCTATTTTAGTATCTTGTACTTATATATATAAAAAACATTCCCAAAATGCAAACTTCATTCATAATTTTCTTTTCATTTTCAAACAACAGAAATAATATACATTCTAAATAATATCACATAAAACAGTTCCTCGTAAAAAGTTTGTTGTCTCTAAAGTAAATCAATTACCATTTGTAAATCTGTTAATGTCACATTTTATACAAATATGCCTAAAACGTGGTCACTGACAGCAATTAAACAAGAACAATCACACTATCTAAAATTATATGATATACAAAATTTGCAATCTGTTTGCGTACATCATTTTCAATTTAAGAACTAGAGTACTTATCGTTCTTCTCTTCATTATAATCAAGTGGCAACCTTTTTCTTCATAACCAGAGTCGTAGATAGCTCCTTATCAAAATGTTTGTTGTCTTTAAATTAAATTACTATTATGTAAATCTTTTAATGTCACATTTTATACAAATATGCACAAAGAACGGTCACTTTAAACAAAAACAATCACTGAGAATGGTCACTGATAGCTATTACCGTACAGTTTAAACAAAAACAATCACATTATCACAAATTATGTGATATACAATATACTTTATATGTTTGCGATTTGTTTGTGTGACATCATCTTGGATTTAAGAACTAGAGTACTTATACTGCATGCTCTTCTCATCAATAGAATCTGACATGAAGTGCCAACCTTTGTCGTCATAACGGAACGTTCCGCACTGCGGCGCCCTCAAGCATGCAGTAGCACATCTTGTGCATTCCCTTTAAAGTTCGACAGATTCTATCCAAATTCGCAGATGATTTGTACATAGCAGTGTGAATGTCTAATAAACAAACATAATAATTCACGAAAGAAATGAAATTGTAATACTGGCAATGGTCTTGATAATCCATTTCTATAGTTTTTTTCTTTTACCCAGTGTCAAGACAAAAAAAAAAAGAAAACAACATAAAACAAAAAGAAGGAAGCTTAGAATTGTGAAAAAGATGAGATTTAAGTAAGGATTTTAAAAGGGCTAACGATGGAGATGATCTTTGCAATTTAATCATTTGTTCCACAACTTTGGTGTAGCAACAAAGAAGGATATATCACTATAGGTTTTCAACCGACAAGAAGGACAATAAAGAATGGTAGCTGGATGATGTGGACTACATGTAGTTGCGCACAATTTGTGAAGATCATTACTGTGGCGAGATGAACAATGAATACAATAAATAGCCAGAAAACAATAAATAGCCAGAAATAGAACCGGGAAAATTAATCTTGAATACAAAGGATTAAATTTAGCTTTATTTTCGTCCTGAATAAAAATAGCTCTCACTGAAATAAGTATGTCATCATTCTATAAGTTCACTCTCTAATTCCGAGCTTCTTCTATTTTGAGACAGCTTTCACGGATATATATATCCGTGAAAAACGTATAGTTAAAACTATAGTTAAAGATTATATATCAATTAAAGTATCTCATTGGACACCCAGCAGGCCGAAAATAATGCACAGAAGAGGGCGTATCTTATAGATCTGTGACTAGTTTTGATAGCGCTATATCGAAATCGTGGCGTCAAGCACGTTACAAGAATGAAACGAACTCATGTTCTACCGGACGCTTAAATCACCAGAGTGTCTTGTGGTAAAGTGGTTATGACGTTCGCCATGTATGCGAAGGGTCCTGTTACGTTTCAATTTATAGTATTCATTGCAATATTCCACTTGCTGTTTCTTAGTTTTTCCCATGCCTTTTGAATTATTATATATATTGTAGCAATAAAGCGTAATTTAAATTAACTCAGAAATATTGTTGACTTACGTGTGATATAGACAGATTTTCTCCAAAAACCACCACATATTTCTTGTGGATTGCCGACACAAGCCACATTACATTCAACTTCGAGTTGTTGACCCAACTTAGAATAAGTCTCATCACAAAAACAATGTTTTACATACTGCAATCCGGTGTACTGATAGCGTAGTTCGTAACAACGGTGTATACAAAAACTTACTGTCATACCGTTGAACGTGTACTGATTCCACATCATTCTATCGTGGGAATCTGCGAAACAGCCTTTGTAGACACCGACACCTATCAGGTACAATTTTAAAGAAAACAATTTCAAATTATCGAAGAATTAAATTTAGCTTTATTTTCCTCCTGACTAAGTAGGCCTACGTCTTTCTTAAAATAGCTCTCAATAAAATTAATATGTCATCAAACTATCAGTTCACCCTCTAATTCCGAGGCCCCTCTACTTCGAAACCAGTTACTATGGTTTTATAATTTATATATTTTTATTTTTATACTATTTGTTAAACTTATATATAATAAATAATTTAATTAAATAATTTAACAAAATAGTACAAATAACGAATAAGTTAATTGAAATACGCCGCAAACCAAACGTAAATAAACACATTTTTAATACGATTTTGCAATTATACAACTTCATTTATTTTTATAAAAATGTAGTACATAAAATTACATTTTTGATACGATTTTGCAATTATTCAACTTCATATATTTTTATAAAAATGTAGTACATAAAAATATCAAAATTCTAATTTTCAATTACACAATTATACATCACGAACGGCAATACGAGCAAATCAACGACTGACAAGACTGTGGGATGAATACGTAGCTGGTATCCGGGGGGTCAACGATTGACAAGACTGTGGGATGAATATGTAGTTGGTATCCGGGGGGTTCATTCACTGATGACATCGGCAAGCCGACTACATTCACTGAGACACGCACTACATTCACTGAGAGACGCGCTTGGCGTTCCATAGAAATTACCGGCGGCTCAACTTGTCGGCGGCTCAACCTAGGTCACTCAAGCGGGTGCAGGTCAACTCGGCCACAAGTCAACTCGGCCACAGTCAACTCGGCCACAAGTCAACTCGGCCACAAATAACTCGGCCACAAAAAGTTCGGCTGCAGTCAACTCGGCCACAAGTCAACTCGGCCACAAGTCAACTCGGCCACAAGTCAACTCGGCCACTAGTTATTTATAATTAAAATGAAATGTAAATACGGTATTACAGTTTCTGCATCCTTTAATCCTGAAATTCTGATCATCGTCACATCGTCGTGAGATCGTTGTATACATTTCTTCACATTGTACTCTTATTCAACAGAGAAAAAACGCCACTTACAGAATGGAATAAAATCTGACAATTGTAACATTAACAATTTAAGCAATCTTAATAATTAAGAAAAACACATATATTAATGTTTAATTTTGTTTGACACCAATAATAACAGCAATATTATTGTGGCCGAGTTGACTTGTGGCCGAGTTAACTTGTGGCCGAGTTGACTTTTGGCCGAGTTGACTGCAGCTGAACTTTTTGTGGCCGAGTTGATTTCTGGCCGAGTTGACTTATGGCCGAGTTGACTGTGGCCGAGTTGACTTGTGGCCGAGTTGGATCGAATTCACTCAAGCATCCTATCCGCTTTCTCAAAATGGTTGTTTTACTGTTGTTACGTCGTAAATAAGACTGTAAGTATTAACATACTCTTTGGTATTAACACCAATCACAGTTTAATAAGATGCGTGTTTACTCACTGCATTTGTCTAGATTCAGCTTCTAAAAGAATCGTTTTTTGCTAGGTATATCTAACCTAGCCTACTACTCTAAGGGTAAGTAAGAGGCCTAGGCCTAGCTAGGATTCGGTAGAGGCCTAAGCCCTAGCCTAGGCCCTAGGTATCCTACTTACGTAACTAAATCCGGCAATAATCCAAAACGACAATGGAAAATTGGCCAAAATTGCAAAGTTGTACACAGCAGAAGTACCAGTACCAGTACCAGATTGTAAATTAAGGCAGGCGTGCGTAGGGAATATAGCCTAGACCTATCCTCAACTCAAAAATTAGGCCTAGAAATCAGTCTGCGTATTTTATAAAATAAGGGCCGATTTCAGCATAGATTTTGCCTAAAAATTTAAGGTTTTGACCAAGGCCATGCAAAAAAAAATTTGTTAGCATCCCCTCCCGACGTCGAAAAACTCGCCAACCTACTTTTGTTTTTTTTTTATCCAAAAAGACAACGGATATTGACCCAAGTGCAATATTTTGTATATGGGAACAGTTTTTATGTTCTTTGTCCTTTACTAAAATTTCTTCATTTCTTGAAAAGTAATTTGAAACATATATTCATTTGTTTTAATATCAATTTAATTTTATACATTCTCAGGTACATTGTATAGAATGAAATTGATATTAAAACAAATGAATATATTTTAATATCAATTTCGTTTTATACATTCTCAGGTACATTGTAAATTCCATTTAATTTTCCTACATTTCACACCATTTTTCAAGTTTGACCAAAAAAAAAAAAAAAAGAATGCCTACATTAAAAAATTCAAAAAAAGGATGCTAACCAATTTTTCTTTTTGACATGGCCTAATCTTAGTATGTAACCAATGTATACAATAATTACAATTCTGCACAGTTATTTTCCTAGAGATTTGTTCAAATTTGCAATTTTGTTGTGCAAATTTGAGCAAGTTTTTGAGATCTCCTCCATTAAAATACCTACAGATGGCAGAAGTATTACGATTCATTGCCTAGCACTAGCATTGGGACAATTAGGCCTATAGATACATTATCTGCATTCTCTAATTTAAAGCTTTCACAATTTATGTATTGCAATGAAGAAAACTTAAATAAATATCATACAAATCTTTGTAAGAAAAAATTGTTATTTTTTTACTGTAGAACGTATATTTTATATTAAGTGGATTTTTTTTTTCTGAATTTAAAGTCATTAAAACGAATAAATATTTTTAGATCACTGATGCAAAGACTCTCCAACTTGTACTGGTAAACAGAAGCAAACAAAAAAGAAAGAGAAAACAAAACACAGAATAGAGGGTTCAGTTAACGTAAAAGGCAAATAACCCAGAGAAAAATCCACAGTTACCAAAAAGAAATAAGTCAGTAACAGATTCAAGACTGTAATGTGGTGTTTAGGTAAATTTCCTTTCTAACTTTTAAATCTTTCCGAGTAATCCAATTTTCTGTTTATATTTTATGTATATAGACGATGAAGTTTCTTGAATCATGAGTCTTGATTAATAAGCTTAGTTAAGGTTGCTCAGACTAACACCCCCTCACTTAATCATCGAGTCCTTCCACTTCACCTTTGCGCCCCCAATTAGCCCACTCCACACCCCCACTATTTCAAGATTGATAGATACCCCACTGTGGTCCAGAGGTGGAAGAAGTCACTTTTGGGAAATTTGATTAAATGAGCTTTTTTAACACATATATAATTTTATTTTGCTGTACATGGTGAGACAATTGAAAAAAAAAATGTAGTCAAAATATGCAAATATTATGGATTTGCAGAAGGAGGTTCTGGGTGTGTGAGAGGCCGTCCCGATATCCAAAGACTCCTGTGACTTGCAGGATAGTTGGGACCCTTGTAACTGAACACTATGTTTATGCTACAGTACCAGACCTAAAAGTATCACATGTCAGTACTGCATCTCAAATGATTTTGTATACAGTATTAAAATTACTAACTGTTTGATTGATACATTTTTGCTGGTATATTTATTCAAATAATATTATAATGTAGTAGATGGATTTGCTGTACATAGCGCAAATAAAAAATCTCTGTTTTCGCTCTTCAAGATGAGAATATGGACTTTTTATTAAAAGGCATGGAGAAAATTGCTATACAGTAGGCAAGAGTTTCAGCTAGACAAAGAAACAGAAACCAGAATTGAAAGTTGTAATAATTTGTATATTATTACTGTATTGCCTTAGCCATTGGTAAATATTGAATGAGAGCAGTTTCTATTTACTTGAAAGCGGACAGCTAAAATGATCTGGATTGTTGATATTACTTTCAATACATATCTGCATCCTGGTAGGTAAGGAAGTATTTCAGGAATTTATTCCTAAATTGTTATTGAATTTGTTGTTAGTATCAGTATCACTAGTGGAGTGTGCTTTTTTAAGTTTGGATTGAATCGGCAGTGGTGTACCGGTATCTAAAGACACTAAAAATTTTAAAAAATTAGAGGGGGGGGGGGCGTGAAGATGAAGTTGATGGGCTCAATCATACAATGAGGGGGAGCTAGCTGGAAAAATAAGGTGGTTTGAGGTGATATTTAACCAATGCATCATTTTTTTGCTTCAAAATTTTCCAGAGGGGCGTTGGTGCATTTAGGGATGCAAACTTGTTGAGGGAGGGTGTGCACCTGTCTCTTATACACATCTGATGTGTATAAGAGACAGATTGATATCAGATGCTGCACCCCACCTAATTTT